TTTTGACAATTCCATCAGGTTCAGGAGGGTTCCAAATTTTTTGTGATGCTTCATTGAGAGGACTTGGATGTGTATTCATGCAGCATGGTAGAGTGGTGACCTATGCTTCAAGGCAACTGAAAATTCATGAAAGAAACTACCCTACTCATGATTTAGAATTGACAGTTGCAGTTTTTGCACTCAAAATATGGAGACATTATTTGTATGGGGTCAAATGCGAAGTGTTTACAGATCATAAGAGTCTCAAATACATTTTCAATCAAAAGGAGCTAAATTTGAGATAGAGAAGGTGTTTAGAGCTCATTAAAGAATATGACTTGGACATACAGTATCATCCTGGAAAGGCAAATGTAGTTGCAAATGCACTTAGCAGAAAAACACTTGGAAATGCAAATTGACTAATCACCCAACATGAGCAGATCATCAGAGATATGGAAAAGTTAGAGATTTCAGTGGTCAATCAAAAAGAGACAAAAGATATGATGTTGAATCAGCTGATGATTCAATCTACTTTGAAAGATAAAGTTCTTAATACATTGTCTCAGGATGAGAAATTTCATACCATCATAAAGAAGGTGCAAGCAGGACAATTAGAGAACTTCGTTGTGGATGGAAAAAAGATTATTAAAATATAAAGGTAGAATCTGTATTCCAAATGTTGAAAACTTAAGAGAAGAGATACTACAGGAAGCTCACCTCTCAACATATGAAATTCACCCAGACAGTACAAAGATGTATCAGGAACTCAGAGGTTTGTTTTGGTGGCCAGGGTTAAAGAGAAGTGTTGCAGAATTTGTAGCAAAATGTATTCCATGTCAGATGATCAAAGTAGAACATCAAAAGCCAAGTGGTCAACTGTAACCCTTACCCATTCCCATGGTTTAAAATTGCGCAATATGAGGCTTGCCTTGAGGCCCGCCTTTGCGCAATTCCAGTAAAAAACGCCTCGATGCTTACGCCTCGAGTTTTTTTTATGAGGCTTGCGCCTCAACTTGGTTGAGGCCCGCCTTGAGTATGTCATTGCTATTTAATATTTATTTTTGAAAATTTGAATTATATGTTAATGAAAAGAATAATGGGATTTGGGAAAGATAGAATTTTGAGTTGAATTATATTTCATGTTGTCTTATTATTGGGATATTTTGATTTCACTTCATATCTTATGTTTTTTTTATGTTTTATATTATTCACTCATTAGTATATAAAAAATTTATCATTTTATGTTTCCGCAATCTTTTGATTTTGAGGCTTACGCCTCAAAACGCCTTGAGGCTTACGCCTCGCCTCACGAATGAAAAACGCCTCAATACCTGAATACGCAATTTTAAACATTGCCCATTCCTGAGTGGAAATGGGAAGACGTTGCAATAAATTTTGTAATTGGATTACCCAGGTCAAGGCAGAGTCAAGATGCAATATGGGTTATTATTGACAGATTAACTAAGTCAGCTCATTTCTTACCAATCAGACAGACAGATTCAGTAGAGAAATTGCCAATATTATATGTTGATGAAATTATAAGATTGCATGGAATTCCAAAATCTATTGTTTCAGACAGAGATGCCCGTTTCACTTCTAAATTGTGGAAGAAAATTTATGAAGCTTTGGGCACACGATTGACTTTCAGTACAACATTTCATCCACAGACAGATGGGCAATCAGAAAGAACAATTCAGACTTTGGAGGATTTAATGCGATTATGTGTTTTAGATTTTGAAGAAAATTGAAAAACTCACATACTATTGATTGAATTTTCTTACAACAACAGTTTTCAAGCTAGCATTGGAATGCAACCATATGAGGCTCTTTATGAAAGAAAATGTAAAACAACCTTATGTTGGGTAGAAACTAGTGAAAGAAAATTAATTGGAACTAAACTGATGGATGAAGCTACTAACAAAATCAGATTGATCAGAGATAGACTAAAGGCAGTTTAAGAAGGCAATGAAAATATTATGATGCAAAGCACCGACCAGAGGAATTTGAAGTTGGAGAGTTTGTTTTCCTAAAAGTTAGCCCAATGAAAGGTGTTCAAAGGTTTGTAAAGACGAGAAAATTGAGCCCAAGATTCATAGGTACCTATGAAATAATTGAAAGGATTAGAAATATGGCATATAGATTGCATCTGCCAGGAAATATGCAAGGAATCCATAATGTGTTTCATATATCAGTGCTTCGAAAGTATGTCTCAAATGATTCAAAGAGAATACAGTCTAAATCAATTGAATTGCAACCTTATTTGAAATATATTGAAGAACCATAAAGGATATTGGATTAAGATGTAAAACAGTTAAGGCATAAGACAATACCTTTTATGAAAATTTTATGAAAATATGGATCAGAAAGAGATGCCACTTGGGAGCAGGAAGCTGAAATGAGAAGCCAATATCCTCATCTATTTAATTAAGGTACCTTTTCTTTTGCTTGATTTTAATTTCGAGGACGAAATTTTTTAAGGGAGATTGTGACAACTGGTTCATCCGGCCGTTCAACTGAACCGGCCGGCTCACCTTACTAATACCGCAAACAGGAGAGGGTTTGCAGATAGCCAGCATTCGCAAAACAGACAGGAGCGAGCGGCGGCTTCGTGCGTGAGAGCGAGGTAGGTTTCTTTTCTCCAATTTTAGCAAATGATTATCTTTTCGGATAGAAAATAACAATTCCTTTTCATTCTTATCGTTATCAGAGTGTTATTTTGGGAGAGATTTGAAGAAAAAGAGAAACGAACGAGAAGGATTTAGGGAAGGAGGTTTGTTGAATTTTATTCTTCCTTTTCTTATAAATTTTGCAGAATTTCTTCATTTAAATGTAAATGTTAAACTTTATTTATCTTAGTAAATTTCATGCATATTAATTGAGGATGAGAATTACCCACTGAGTTTGCTTGGTAAACTCAAACCACGAATCTAAATGTTTCAGGTAAATTCCTAAAGAAGAAATGACTGAAAGAGAAGAACATGTTTATAGAAGGCGGCGTGTCAATGACAGCAAGTAAAATATATTTTGTGTTTTAGTGGCTCTTTAACATGAATGATGTAGTATAATGTTTAATGAATTTTATCATCCGACTTTTCGTTCCCGCCTCGTTAGATCAAGCATCTGGGCCAGGTCGTGACAGATAAAGGGCACACCCTGGATCAAAGGTTCCTCTTATTATCACTTATACTAAATGAAAATCCTATGGTTATTCTAACTTCCTTTTTTATCCAATGCAATCCAAGGATGAGAATAGAATTTCTAGCTTAGTTTAAGCTAAGAAAGAATCTTATAGAATGATCTAAGATTTTGATGATAGAAGTTGTGAAGGAAGAATACTTAAATATTCTAAGCGTAGGCTAAAAATTCAAGTAAATGATTAGTATATTTAAGTTTCTAAGTGAGAATCTGCGTTTCAAATTCACTCTAGATGGAGAACTTGTTACATCAACGGATTGTTGATATTTTTTATAACAACAATAGATTTTGTTGTAATTGTGATGAGCCATTTTATACACTCATCTAGACCTATTCACTCTAAAGTCATGATCCAAATGTTGAGATATCTCAAAGGGGGATCCTTGGGAAAGGATTCATATTTCAAAATACAGACCCCATCCAAAGTAGAAACCTAAACAAACGCAGATTGGGCAAGGGATATCAATGAAAGGACATCTACCTCTGAATAATGCACCTTTTTAGGAGATAGCCTAGTTATCTGGAGAAGCAAAAAATAAAATTTTTAACAAGAACTAGTGCTGAAAGCAAATTTTGATCTATTTTAAATGGGTTCTGTGAAGTTGGATTCTAAAAAAAATTATTAAAAACATTTGCTTCCCTTGCCATATGCCACAACTTTTTTAGTAGGCCTCCATAAACTTAATGGGTAGCCATTAGACTGTTTGCAGAGCAACCAAGAGCAAGCCATTGTCTCAACTTTGCAGGCCGCCATTATGGTTTAAGTGGGACTTTGCTAACTTAACAACTCATAACTAAGTATTTAGTGGTCACCACTAATTTGTTTTTGTATATAAAAGCCATTTTTAGAGCCTTTTTTATGCCTAAATTGAATTCTTTTGAGCTGCTATTTACCCTAGTGCTTCCCAAATATATACCCCTCCACTACAAACGCTTTAGGTCTACTTAAAACTCTTCAAAACTCCATATTGCAAAGATCATTCCTGCTTCATTCTTTCATTACAAATCAAGAAGAGCAAGAGCTTCTCATGGTTTAAACGAGCTTCAAAATTCAACATTCTTCATCTCATCATGCGACTGTCAAGTAAGATGTATCTTACCTTAATACCTTATGTTTGATCTTGTAAAGTTTCTTCTAATTGACTATATCTTTTGGAAGAGAGAAACCTTTTTCTATGATTAAGTTGAGAATACTTTTCCACAATGAAGATGTGAACTAACTGTTTCTTAGCTGGCTTGCAAGCAAAGACGTGTTTTGGGTAGTGAAATCCAAATAAGATGGTCCGCAGACATGAATGTAAACTGGTTGGAGCTGAACAATATAAATATCAGTTGTTTGTTATCTTTCATTCTGCACTCTATTTTATTTAAATGTCTCATTTTCCACAATGATCGCTTTATTTTGAGAGGTTTAATCAAATAAAATTTTTCGATGCAAAGCTTTTAAAACCCAGCCATCAGTCTCTTGCTAGTGCCATATTCATCAAAATATACATGAATATATATACAGTATTCATTTAATTTGTCATGAACGTTACCGGATCAACTCAACATGAAATGCTACACATGTTCTATACTAATGCAAGAGCCTGAATTAATGCGCACTTAAGATGATGATGCGATAGGTCTGATTTTCTCAAACAAAATTATCTTCTTGGTTGTGAGGCTCTTTAAACTGCTACAGCTTGTAAGATAAATTCACAGGAAATATGACAAGTTAAATACAAAAAGAAAACAAGAAAAGACTTATAAATCTAGGAATGTAATGCCAAAAAAATAGATCAGTAAAAGAACCTTGATCAAAGAAGATGATCTTAATGACTTACGTTTCTGATGCAGTTGCATTCCTGTAGCCCTACAACAAACATTTCATCGTCAAGGAATATGCTTAGATTTATGGAAACCAATTTTGAACATATTTAATTATAAATCAGCTTTACTAAGCAGAAAGCAATCTCTATTTTATCATATATTGCAGAAATATGACAGATGTAAATTGCTAGTCGCTAGAAATGGTGCAAACATATTTATGTACGACAAATTCAACTCTTTATGCGAACTCAATAGAAATGAAGGGATAAAATAGATTGAATGTCAACACTAAATAGTTGTGATAAAAGCTAATGCCGGTAACATTTTGCATCTGCAGATTTCTTGCTGGAATAACAGCAAAACAATTATAATAATAAAAATGGAGAAAATGAGTAAAATAGGGCATTGACTTTTTATGAAGGACAAAAAAATGTCCCCAATTATATTAATGGATCATTTTGCTCCCTCAAGTCTTTAAAAAGAAATCAAAATAATCTCATGTTGGGACTCTTTTGATTCCTCTTTAAGTAGTTGAGGGTCCAAAATGATACTTTAATATAGTTGGGAACTATATTGATCTTTCATAAACAGTCAATGGACCATTTTCTTGACACAATTTTTATGTAGACTCAACTTGGTTTGAGTCGAATTGGACTCAACTGGTCTGATTGAACTTGATCAACTCAATTGAGCCTCATCGAACCCAAATCAACTTAAACTAGACCCAAATTAAGACCAGTTAAACTTAAATGAACCCAAATTAAATCAAATTGATTTGATTCGAGTCTAATTACATAAAATTAACTCGATCAAAGCAAATTCATTTAAATCGAGTTCGATTCAAAATCAAATCCAAACCCAATAGACCCAATTGACTTTCCAATCAACAATTTGTATCCAACAGCTCAGATTGCCTTGGAATTATCACCTAGTGCGCCACTGCCTTCCCGTCAAATCTCAAAGCTAATAATAGAGTAGGATCTTATCCTTGTTCCCATACATAAAGCCGAGCAGCCATCCTTACAGAAGCTTCTGGTTTTTTACCCTAATATGTGCATCAAGAGGATTGAGAGAGAGAGAGAGAGAGTAATATCCAAAATCCAGTTAACTAAAATAAAATTTTACTTAGAAAAATATTATTTAATATTAGCAATTATTATTGTTAATTAAATAAGTTCAGTTTAATTATAATTCTAACCTAATTCTGATTAGATGCATCTATTGCCATTAGAGGAGTTATAAGAATGGTTGTTGTGGTGGGCACTCTCTTACAATAAGTCACTGATAGGGGGGGGGGGGGGTTACAATTCTTCTTGCCCATGGGCTGCTTGTTCTTCTCAGTTTGGAGATGTTTGCTGCTCACGAATTGGGTCTTGGCTGCTTGGTATTGAGCTCAGAATTCTAGATTTTACTTGATGTTAGCTCATTAATGATTGAGCTGAAGTTTAGCCCAATAATTGGGGGAATAAATGCACTTCCTAGCTCATAAATTCAAAAAGGTATGCTATTATTTCAAAATCATTATTGAGGAGTTTATTGTGGGGTGGACTTGTGCCTCTTCCCCTTCCTTTGCCTTTTCGTTTTCTGTTGGTTGTTGTTGTTCCCCTGGTTCTCCCTCTCGGTTTTCTCCTCCTGACTGCTTTTCCCGTGAAATGTTGCCTTATCTCCTGTGCTGGCTCTTCAGGTCCCTTGCTAGCTGGATTCCCGTGGCTGCTGGAGGGTTTTTTCGTGGATTGTTTCCTGTTTTTCTGTGCAGAATTCCTGCTGCTGTTTTGCTGTCTTTTGGCCTTCCATTTGGTGACTTTTGGCCTTTCATTTCCCCAAATTTGATTGGGTTTGGTTGGAGGTGTTATGGCTGTTTGTCTACCTTCTTTTTCCTATAAAATAGAGTTGTTTGTTGCTGTTTTAAGGATTGAAAAAATGGTTATATGGCTAATTTTTGGATAAAAACCTGCGGGTTTCTTCGTGGAAAAGCTTGCGAGCTTGTTCCTTTCCTCCCTTCTCCTAGGAAAGCTTGCGAGCTTGTCCTTCTATCTTCGTCTCGACTTCTAATCTACTTCTTCTATCCGCAAGTTCCCTTCCACTTGTATCTTTCTTCTTAAAGCAATGGAAATGCAAGTTTAGGTTTTTATTATATAAGTTTGTTTGAGTCATTTGTAAGCATCGTTTGTTAGGTGTCTTCATTGTTTCATTTGTAAGTGTCAAAGTTTGTAAATCATTTTATTTTATAAAGAGAAATTATTTTTGGTTTGTCTTGTCGTATTTTGCCTAATTTTGAGTAATTTGTGTATTTTCTATTACCTATGAAAGTTTAGCTTTTGTTTGCAAAAATTTGGAGTCCTTCCCAAATTTTTGCTCGCATCAGTCACGCAAGCCAGAAATTTCGGCAAGCAGGCATTGGAAATGTTGTAATTGGAACCGTCACAATGTTATGCTTAGTGAACAATTCAGTATAGTGCACAGGAGGAATCCGACATAGTGTTTAGGAGGAATTCAACACAGTGCTTAGAAGAAGGATTCAACATAGTGCTTAGATGAGGGATTCGGCAAAATGCATTGAAGAAGGGTTCAGTATAGTGGTAGTAATTTTAACATAAGTTTTTATGTTTTTTTTTTTTTAAATAATGGAAATTGGTTGATATTGAACTGAGTTTTTTTGCCATAAGGGTAGGATTTATACTCGGAAGAGGAAGCGTTGAATGCAAGCGAAAGATAAGAGAGGAGATTTAGTAGGCTTTGAGAGGGAGAATTTCAGTAAAGAATTCCAAGTTAAAGAAGAATACTAGAGAAATTGAGGAAAGAAGAAGTTAAAGTGAATTGCTTTTTATTGCAAAGTTATTGTTGTTTTGTAGATTTCCCTTATATCCGTAAAAGTTATTAAAAGAAAAAGTAAATCAATTATGTAGAAATTTATCTAGTATATGAGGAGGAGGGAATCTAGTTACAAGGTAAACTATATTTATTTAAATTACTAGAAGTATGATTTATGGAAGTCATTGAAAATTTAGAAGGGAATTGTGTAGGTTTTACAATCGCAGAAGGGTAAGAGGTGGGGGATTTGAGGAGTCAACTCGTCAGGGAGGTAAGTTATGTAAGTTGATTCCAATAATGAATATGAGCATACATTAAAGTATTCCTATACAGACAACTGCATATCCATATGAATAATTAAAATTTGAAGTAATATCAAGTTTGAATGTTTACAACTTTTCTTATTTGGAAATATTATGAAAAGAAGTTCAATTTCTTATCTATTGTACACATTCTCTTCATGCAAACAGTATAATAGATATGTTGTTATGAAAGTATGCAACCATATAATACAAATAGGAATTATGAATATGTGAAATTTATTGAATATTAAATTAGTAATAATTTGCTATAAAACGATATGATACATATAATTGTAGATGTGGTAAAAGGGACCCTAGGTATGATGCCTGCAATTGTAAGTGGGAAAAAAAATGGACCCCAAATATGATATATGCATAGCATGTGAGGCAAAAGGGACCTATGTGTAGTTTAATGGTAATAATGTCAGGTTTACTTGAGCTTCATTGAATATTTTTATGAAAGTTTGGTCAAATCTTTAAAGACTAATATTAATATTCTATATAGACTTTAAATGAATGAAAAAATGATTTTTAGAAGATGATTTATATTATTTTATAAATATTTCTAAGTTAATTTAATTATGCTATTCTTTATAATCTGACATTTAATTTTTATGTAACTTATATAACTTATTGAGCCTTATAACTCACCAATTCTTTTCATACTGGTTGTTGTTACAAGAAAAAGAAAGAAAAATAACGAAGTAAAATAAGTTCAACTTATACATTTTATATTCAATTGTTTAGCTTTGTTTGTGAGTCTACAGCTGAGATATGGAGATGGTTCAGTGGTGTACTATTTTAGACTTTATTAGTGGCTCTGTAAGTATTTGTTTCATATTGGGTTCATAAATTTTCACTCGGAATAACTTTTTAATCTTAGCAATCTAAACGATCTAATTTTCTTATAAGAAAATAGTCAATCTGAGTTGTATTATATCCATTTTTATAAGTGATGAGATGTTCATTCCTTTTCTTAAATAAGATATTAGCAATTGAAAAATCATAAGCTAAACAAAAATCTAATATGGTCTTGACACTTTCATTTGTCATTCCAAAACCATGGCCACCATGAATGCTTTTAAAATCATCTACCTCTCTACCAACATGACCATTTAAATCTCCTTTATTAAAAACTCTTTCTTCAAGAGATATCTTTTGTAATAATTCTTCTAAGTCATTCCAAAAATTTAATTTAAAACTCATATTCAAACTTACTTGAGGAGCATAAGCACTTATAATATTAACAATCTAATCATCAATAACAATCTTTAAAGCTATAATTCTATCTCCAATCTTATTAATTTTTATAATATTATCCTTCAAACTCTTATCTATAATAACACCTACATCATTTCTAGTACGACTCCTACCCGAATACCAAGTTTAAATCCTAAATTATCAATTTCCTTAGCCTTCTTTCCAACCCATTTGGTTTTCTAAATGCACAAAATATTTATCTTCCTATGAATCATAATATATATTAATTTCATTAATTTTCTTGTAAGGAAACCTATATTCCAATTTCCTATCCTAATTTTAGTTTCAAGGACCAATTGCACAATTTTAAACCTTGACCATAAGGGGACATTCGTACCCTAGAATAAAATAAACTCTATTCAGTCAAATATTGAATAGGGAAAAATCTATGTTAAAATATAAAATTGTGAGTTTTGTTATTAAGTCCATAGCGAAATAATATTTGTCTTTCGGGGTAATATATTATTTTTCTATGTTGTACTCATTCACAAAATATTTCAATCCGTTGAGGATGAATGACAAATTTCACCAACAGATTTTGATCCTTTTTTAATAAAAATGTATAAGATAACATATAAAAACTTGGAAAAGGCAATAAATTAAACTTCAAACATGCTATTTTAACCCCCTTAAGCAGGTACGTACCAACAAACTCTTTGGAGACTCTACATTAGCAGGTAATTCATGCACAAGGTGAGCTCCCTTCTTTTAAATAGATAGAAGTACATCAATCATAAATTTGATGTAAGTAATCACCTATAACACCAAAAATGCGTGCTAAAAATTTATTTTTACAAAGTTGCAGAAAATGAAGCTTCTGTTTTGCAAAAAGGAAATGAGATAACTTTTAGACACTCTAATTTCAGACATTTATATCAATTGAGTTTACAATGTTGATTATTATTTATTCATTCAGAATCAATTAATTTAATTCTAGTGATCAGTATTATTAATAGCTGGGATGAAAAAATCAACTAGCATGCCACAGAGTACCATCAAGAGATATAATAAATAAACTTCACTCACAACAAAATCAAAATATAGATACTGCATAGCAAACTTACTTCAAGTTTACAAATGAAGACAGGATGTCCTTGCCTTTGTCCAGATAAAGCACCCTGTAAAATCAAAGAGAATACATGAGAACCTTGTTCTAGTAGCATAGAATTGGCATAAAAGTTCTAGCAAGTTCAAGAGTAATATAAGGAAACCAATGGTTAACCAATGATAACTGAAGGTGACCGTCTGAACAAGAACCACGAACGTCATCGATGACATTATTGAGGACTGTTTTCTTTGCTTTATTAGTTGATGCATTTAAGACATTTTAGTTGTGACCTTTTAATTTGTTTTTTTTTTTTCCTAAGTTACTGTATATAAATTGCATGGATTTATCATAATTTGGTACATTTATGTGATTATTCTTAATGTCATTTCTATAAAAATGGAGACCTGGGAATTATTATAAATGATTAATGATTGGTATGCAAAGGGCGCCGGCTATTGCTATAATAAGATCCTCTTCCACTGCCAGATAAAGACCAGTTTCTTCCTCATCCCCCTCTCTCCAGTCCTCCCACTTCCTTCTCTTCTCTGATTTTCTCCCTTAACTGCTTTAAACAACAATCCCTACTCCAACTCCTACACAAAATCTTCTGCACCTCGCACAAACCCTTTTCACAGCATCAAATTTTAGAACCGACTTCAGTTGGAAACCCCGAGCCTACATAAATTGCAGGTGTCAAAACATATTCACAATGAAAACATGCCCTCTCTTCCATATGCATAAAATAGACCACTCTCAATTCATTAATCTGCATCTTCATCAGCTCTTATTCTCCTAGCAAACTTTAAAATAAGTAAAATAGCCTACAAATGGTATTTTCAAATGGGATTACAAGATAAGGCCCATTTACGATTGCTATGTCATTATTAGGAATGATTGACTCCTAACCCATTTATGCCAAATTTATTTAGGACCTCAAAAAACCAATCATAAACTAAAGCCAGCCCAAATTTATGACGGACTACAAGATAAGGCCAATTGACGATATCTTAAACATAATGTGTTTCTCCTATAAAACTAATTTAGAAAGTCGCTCAACATTTTTAGTTAGATCAAGATCAACTATACCTGTCAACGGCGAATGACACAGCATGACGCAAAGTTCCCCATGGAGCCATGGAGCATAGAGCAAAGTGCGGCGCAAGCCATTTTGAACACGGTGTAAAAAAAATAATTATAAAAATCATTATATGGATCCTATTTTAAAGTATCAATCAAGTTGGGTAAGGTTTGGTTGAATATATTTGTGGTCCAAAGTTAAAACCATTAAAGTGAGCTTCAAGTTTGTCAAAAATTTCTAATAAAATAAAGTCTAATAAAACCTAATTAAACTATTTTAATCATATCAAATAATTTTAAAATTAATTATTATATTATTTTAGAAATTAAAATATATAAATGTTAAAAAGTATTTATAATCATATTAAAAATACTAAAATTCAAATTGTGCGCGTCATGCGCCATTGCACACACATAGCGAAATTGCGCGCGCCAACTTGAACATGTGCGCCGCGCCATGCAGCTGACACCGTAGATACGCCACGCAGCACCATGCGCATGCCGCGTGCCATTTTGGGCCATTGAAAAGTATGAGATCACCTCAAACATATCTGAGTGAAATTTCAAGTAGTAGGGTCAATCTCAAAAATAGTTTTGAATTAATAATCTGATTTGAATGATGGAAAAAAATTTTATTGGAGCTAACTGTGGGCTCCGAAAATTCAGCCCCGGCCTCCGCCTGCACTGATTGTGCCTTACTTTCGGCGAGAGAGTTTTAACAGAATAAGTTCCGGGGCAAATTTTGGAAGGCAGATGTGTTTGTAGATAAGACACTACCCAGAGGTTTCGCCCACATTTTGTGAGGACTTTATTATCTGAGTTCTGGTTTCCTATAGGCGCAAGCCCCTATAGTTAATTACCCCTCCCGATAACGAGAGAGAGGTTTCGATTAAGGCTAGTCGTCAATCAGATATGTAGAGATATACGTAATCTGGAATATAATAACAGCATGAGTTTGAAATTTTTTTTTTTTTGGACATTTAGGCCATTTAAGGCAAACTCACACACACAACGCATACACATGGACTCGAACCTTGGACCTCTTAGTTGGAAGCCTAAGCTCTCAACCAATAGGTCAAGGGGAGTTGTGTAGTTTGAAATTTTGGAAATTTAAAGATTTGGATGTTTGGGAATTTGAAGATTTTGTATTTAAAATAGAAATTTTCACCATCTTGCACTTAAAGCGGATGGTGGGGGAATGGATGATAGACCCGATCAAGATCACATGGTTCCGTCGTCCCAGGCCATCGTGGTCCCTGATCTACTTAGTCAGAGGAGGTAATCGACCCAACCTGATAGAAGGATCCTTGTCGGTAGCCATGGGTTGCTTCGTCCAAGGGGACCTTGTAGACCTGGGGTGATTGTTTGTCTTAGGGGACAAATTTGAATCAGCCTTAGCTAACAGAAGGCTTTGTGCCCTATCGATCATATCCTATTGATTCATATCTCAAGGATTTGATGCCACTAAGGAGCATATTGGCTCTGGTCATAACAGGTATTTAGTGGTGCCATTTGGCGGCAAAACCACTCGGTTCAGAGTGCCCCAGGTCATAACCGTTTATCCTGCAGTGCCATTTGGCGGCAAAAGCGTCGGTTAGAGGACATGTACCACATCCTTATTGGTAGGAGATTTTTTGAGAATCGATCTTAGTGATATTTTCGACTAGGCATTAGCTCTTTGTGAGCTAAAGTAATTTTAATTTGTCCACCTCGGCAAACTGTTGCGAAGGGTGGATGGATTTTGCTTTTAAGTGTTGATAAATTTATTTCAATTTTAAATATTTTTTTATTTTGATGATTTTGAGTTTTTTGGATTTTTTGATATTTGGAATGGACTTTTGGGCGGCATTTGAAAATATTTGTGAAACCCTTCGATTGAGATAGATATTCAACACGGCCATCATCGGGGTGTTCATGATCATTTCTCTTTGTTGATTGAACCCTGTCGACCCTATCAACTTGCCGATAGGGGATTGGGTTTCGTAGGCTTCATGCCTTTATTAATGAATTCTTAGTATTATAGGTCTTGAAGGCATAATATGAATGTATTAAAATAAATACATCGGTCGCCACAATCGTGTATTTGTTTGAAGGTTCGAACCATGTCGACTCCTATTGATCCGTATAGAAGGATCGGTTTCGAACTTGAATTCACTTATCAACCCGCGCAGCATCCCTAAACGTCACGTGTATATTTATAACACGCTCGTCGGGGCCCATGCGGTTTGGGGGCATTTTATAATTAAACCATGTCGACTCCTTTTTACCTGTTAAGGAGGATCGAGTTTAAAATTTAATAATTCGTGCTGCATCCCTAAACGTCACGTGTGTACCAATAACACACTCGTCGGGGCCCATGCGGATATTTTAGAATTTCACTGATTTGACATACCCCTGTGTACCTATGTCAAGCTACGGTGCACGTGCAGGGGTATTTTAAAAGTATTTGTAGACGACTTCTATCTGCTTGAATAGAAGTTGCGGATCCGGTGGCGTATCATAGCAACTTCTAGATCAGTTGTTTGCTGCTTTATACAGGTAGACTGTCGTGCACTACTTGCATGATTTGCGCATGATTATAGTGCACTAACTAGTCGTCTGCCTTTTTGGTCATAGGAGCTTGCACTTGTCATATTCTCCATACATTTTGTTGTGGTTTTGGTCCCTACAACACATCCGCTATTGCTGTAGGTAAATGTATTCTTTCATTTGTAGATTGAGCCTAACTACAGGATACTGCATTTACTGAAGTCTTTCTGCATCTACCCATCAGTGGGCTGACACATACATTTATTTTCGTAGAGAGATTGTATGTGTTGCAGATCTTTCATATTTGCTCGCAAACCATATGTTGAATATACAACTAGCCTCCTGCAATGGACCATAGGCACTCGCATTGTTGTATATCAAATTCCCTCCGCTTGTAGGAGACAGATGCACATACTTGCCACTGCTGATTATAGACTGTATTAGTATCTTAACACTTGTGGCAGACTCCATGTATCCTTCTTGTAGATGACATGTTGTGTGCACAGCGGGTCTTCTACATACTTTCGTAGGCATTTGCATTTGTTATACGTCCGCTTCTGCATTAGAGAACAAGTGTATTTGACCCATGTTGAATTATTGTCGATGATGTGTTATGCTTGTGAACATCTCATATTGCATATTAATTGCTATGATTTGTTGATGTTCAGTGCATTTATCTGATAATTACTCATCATACCCACGTATGTACATTACTATGCATATGACACATCTTCCATCATTGCTAGTAAGAGTTCACATCCGCTACGATCTTCTATCTCATTCATGTAGAAAATCCGTCACACTGGTGATGTGTTCACCAATACTACTTGTAGATAAGATCGTTGTATGAATGAAGAGTTTTACATGTTAACTTGTAAGAGCTTGTATACTTTGCCGGTGTGTTACACTTGTTTGTACCTTTGCTTGCATGTTGAATTGTTGTTGATAATGGAGACTTCACTACATTCATATGTAAATCTTTTATGAATATCCCCATTGTAACTATCTTTGCTCATCAAATTCATATCACTTGCTCTTATGAGTGAGATATAGGGATTCTATTCACCATAGGTCATTGCTCATGATTATTTGTTGATGCTTGTAGAAAAGTTAAGTTTGTAGTTCTTTGTTCAAGTCCCAAACAATGTCACTCAATTCAAGTTCAAATTTTTGCATTCAAGCAAAGTTTCACATTCCTTAGACCAAGTTCAGGTCAAAGTTCTATTCATTGATGTTTGTTTGGATGCTCAAGATTATTGGTTAACACTTTTATATTTTCAATATGATCATTACTTTAATTTTCAAAACATGTTCATTCGAGTCCACTTTCACAAATCCTTGCTTGAGTTCGAGCATCAAACTCAAGTTCTAAGTCCCCTGCTATCCTTCAAGTCGGCTTAACGTTCAAATCAAGTTCTTCATCATTTGAGTTCAAGTCCAAGTGTTGTCAACTTGATTCAAGTT